GGGGCCCCATGACACACCTGCTGCAGAGAGCATGTGGCCGGGCTGCCTCTTCCAGAAAGTGGCAGGCCCCTGGGACACTACATCTGAGCATCTAGTGTCGGCTGCACCTGCCTCAACTGCCTGTAGTTTGAAGCAGGAGCTACCACTGATTCTAGAGAGAGCTGAAGGGTCAGGGGCTGGAGGTGAGCTACTAGGCACATTCCAGGGCTGGTGATGTTTGCACCCATAGACCTGCTCAGAAATCTTGTTCTCTCCATGGAACCTGAAGCTAGGGTCAAGGACATGTGCTATGGTCCAGAATCAAGCCACAGAGCAGTCAGCAATGGCCCCACACAGGAGCAGCACAGACCTCACTGTCCATGCAGGCATGTCCTGGGCCAGGACTGCCTGGATGGGCAGATCTTGGGACAGCTGCACCCCCTGACAGAAGGGGAAGAGGAGGAAGGCTCTGGGGCCACCTTTCCTGGGGAGGGGGCTACCTTCCCTGAGATGGGCTCAAAGGCGCTGCGCCTGGCCTCCTTCTACGACTGGCCACCCACTGCTGGGGTTCAACCTGAGCTGCTGCTGGCTGCTGCTGGCTTCTTCCATACAGGTGAGTCTTGAGGTCTTTCTGCTGTGGTCTAGGTACTATTTAGCACTCTTCCAACCCAGTGGCTCTGCCCATCCCCCCATGAGGGAGGGACTAATGAAAGGGTTATTCTACAGGTCCTACCTGCCTGGGTCCTGGAGCCCACTCCACCCAGAGTCATTGTGAGAAGACCCTGGGCTTGCACTGGCCTTGTCTTGAGGGCCCTTCAGTCAGTGGGGTCTGCTGGCATGGTGGCTTCACCTGACTTGGATAGATCTACAGATTCCTACCCTTCTCAGAGCTTCCCCAGTGGGAGCCTAAGAAGGCTTAGTGACAGAACTGGCCAGTCCCCGTTATGCTATGCCCCAGGGTGAGAGGTTTAGGGGACAAAAAGCAAAATGTGTCCTTTGTGGGCCTAAGCATCCTGCCCGTGCCCAACTTGTGGGTGGTCTCCCAAGCGTCCCGTACTCCAGTGTGGTACAGGACCCAACTTGAGACAAATCCGTTGAGCCCCTATTTTAGTTACAGCTTGCTCCCCTACCCACTCCAGTGTAGCTTGGGCTTCTCATTGCCCACGGCTGGGTTCAAGTTCTGGCTTTGCCTCTTCTTGGTTGAAGGATAATGAGGCAGCAGGACCCAGTGAGAGGCTTCATAAATACGGGCACAGCTAGAGAAATTGTCATCAGTGGGTGAGCAGGGAAAAAAAAATCATTTTCCTTGCACTGGCCAGTCAAGAGGACAAACTAGGGGCTGGAGAGATGGTTCAGTGGTTAAGAGCACTGACTGCTGTTGCAGGGGGCCTGGGTTTAATTCCCAGCACACACATGGTAGCTAATAACTGTCCTTAATTCCAGTTCCGGAGAATACGAAGCCCTCTTCTGGCCTCCATGGAAATTGCATGCACAAGATACGCTTACATATATCTGGGCAAAGCACTCATTCACATGTGCCTGCAACAGCTCAGTTCATAACTTCTGCACTAGATCATGCAAAACACAACAGTCCCCATTGGGGTGGGGGTGGACAGGGAGCAAAAATGAGGGAGGCCTGAGCTGCTAAAACCAAGCCTGTCTCCAGACTGGCATTTGAGGAGGGCACCCTGTTCTCCTGCCAATGGAAATCCTTCTTGGGGCCCATGAAGTTCCCAGGCTACAGTTGCTACAAGCCCTTGGGTGTACCCAACCCATGTGCTCTGGGAACAACACAAATGCCAGCTCAGCCTTTCCCGAATGTTCTCGGGCCCTCCTGCCATGTGCCCCAGGCACTGTTCTTATTTGCCTTTGAGACAAGAGAGATGCTTGTGTACCACATCCCCTTCTTACTAAGCTCCTAGCAGATCCCAGACCTGCCAGCCCAACTTCTGATGGTTATGGAGGGACACCTGGAGTTGCCAGCTTGGTAGGGCTCCTGGTCATGTGTCTCTGCCATACCTAGGCCAGCAGGACAAGGTGAGGTGTTTCTTCTGCTACGGGGTCTACAGAGCTGGGAGTGTGGGGATGATCCCTGGACTGAGCATGCCAGGTGGTTCCCCAGGTAAGGGCCCTGTGGGCTGCTGCAGATCTGATCACTAGGCCAGGACTGAGAAGGGCCCCAAAGAACTCTGTCCAGCCTCCAGGTCTCCCATAGTCTTGAGACATCAGGATCCCTTCAGGGTGGCAGGCATCTTTACTCTTCATGGAGTCCTTTCTGGAAGGTCTGCTAGGCTGGGCACTCTCCTGTTTCTGTCCCTGAGTGCTCAGAGCCCACCTCCAGAACACCCTTCCAGTGGGTGCCCCCCAGGAGGAGGGTATAGCCCCGACTGTCTCCCACAGGGCATAAAGGGGTCCTCAGAAAGAGAAAACAGGACCTGGTCCCAAAGTTTTACAGGGCTTGAATGTAACAGTGGGGTTCTGAGAGCCCAGTCCTGCCTTCTGAGCTCTCTTCTATGGGTGTCAGTTCCTGCTACAGTCAAAAGGAAGGGACTTTGGGCAGAGCATCCAAGCCTGTGCTCCCCTGCTTGGCTCCTGGGTGAGTCCATCCGTCCTCAAGACTTGGGTGGGTTGGCTGTCTCTGCTCTGTTTACTTCAGGCATTGATGGCTCCCTAACAGGGCCAATGGGAAGAACCAGAAGATGCAGCTCCTGCCACTGCCTCAGGTAAGAGACCCTGATGCAGAGCCCTTGCTGTTTCCTTGGCATTTGCAACCTGCACATGTCAAGACTACAGAGTGTCCCCACCTGACAGACAACAGGAAGGGTGGAGACTATGCCCCTGTGCCATGTACCCAGGGCTCAGGTGCGGCCACCGCACCCCCTTGCTCTAGTTGAGCAGGCTGCTGAAGGCCTTGGCCAAACCTGGGGAGGTGACTGTATGCTGAGCTGGTTCTGCTGGGCACCAGCCACAGCCTCTGAAAGCCAACTGGGCTGTAGTCACAAGCCTGTTGAACAAAGAGCTATAGAAGACAACTACTTTCAATGTCCCTTTCCTGGGCCTTGTGGGTCAGAGGGTCTCCGAGGACCCCAAGGGGGGATTCTGACTTCAGAGCCCACCTGCTTTGCTTGCTAACTTTGTGGCCACAGGAAAGTAGCTTTTCTTTCTGAGCCCCATTGCCATGAAATGTGATATAATGACACTGTCACTCCTTTTGAGAGCACATAGGTCTGTGGAACACTCTGGTGCATGACAGGGCTTCGTCCACTGTCCTCCCTAGTGATGGTGGCACCTCTAGGCAGAGGCTCTGGGGATGCAGCAGCCTCCTTGTGCCTCATGGGAATACATACTCATGTGGGTGTGGATGGAGCATAGCACACTGGCCTCCCTCCATGACCTGAGGCCTTGGCCTCTCTCTTTCTCTCTGCATAAAGATGCCACGGGCATCAGGAGTAGTCAGAATGAAGCCAGAGTCCAGATGTATCCAGAACATCCCATTCACAGCTGGTAACTGACCTGCTCCAAGATGCTCCAAGATGGTCCTCCAAGATGAGGACCAGGTGGCAAGGACCAGAGGTACCTGTACCTGCACTCCATCTAGACACTGCCTGCTTCTCCTTGTCCTACCTCTCTGGCCCAACCCATCACTCTGCTTTCTGTCCCTCCCAAAGTGCCTATCACACAGCATTTATGGTTACTTATCTTAAGGGACTGGGCAGGAAGAGTGCCCTGATGGCAGGTTCCTTGGCCACCTCCAGGAAGCCTCTAGCCTTGGACTCATCAACAGGTGTGTGCCAGACAGGTCCGTTTGCTCTCTAGAACAGAACTGGACCTTGGTGGCTGCCAAACCTTCCCTTGGCTAGGCCTCCCTTCCCCAAAGAAGCTAGGCCTTGAGTCCTTTCCTAACTGCCTATAGCTCCTGTCCATGGATGTCCTGAGCTGCTTGAATCTAGAAGAGAGACCCAGTGTGAAGATGCCAGTGAGCCAGGTGCAGCTGGGATCTGCCTGGGGTGGAGAGGTGTCAGAGGGAGTGCAGAGGCAACCTAGGGGAAAAGAGGGCGGGTCTGTGTCACAGGCCCATCCCCCTTAAGGAGTCAGTCTCCCAGGCCCTGAGGGTGCTGGTGGGTTCTTGAGTCCCCAAGAGTCAGTGATGCACAGGAGCAGTTGCAGCGGTTGCAGGAGGAGAGGACACACAAGGTGCGCCTGGATCAAGCTGTATCTATCGTCTTTGTGCCACGCGGCCACTTAGTCTGTACAGAGTGTGCCCTCAACCTGCAGCTGTGCCCCATGTGTAGGGCACACATCCACAGCTGTGTGCGCACCTTCCTGTCTGTCCTAGGCCGGGTGAGGACCAGGGTGCCCCCAGCATCCCTCCTGCACCCTAGATGTAGCCTGAGTGTCCTGTTTTCTGAGGCAAGCAGTGGCATTCCAGGGATGGTCAGGCCACGCTTCTTACTCCCTCCACCAGTCAGTCTCAGTGTTCTGATTCCTTCTCAACATAGTCAATGTGAAGGGGGACTGGAGGATACCTCCTTCCTAGCTAGACATGGAGGGCTCTGCGAGGGTTGGGGAGGCCAGGTGCAGAGGCATGTGGAAAACCAGGACAGTGATACTGGGGCTTAGTGGACATGTATGTTGTTGGGCGGGGAGATGTGAACCTCAGTTGTTTCAGAAGCACAGCATACTCCTGTACCCATGAGGGACAGGAGCCATGGCCTTCTCAGGCTCTCAGAGGTCATCGTGTCCCAAGATGTGTCTGAGAATTTTCTAGAACAAAGCGGCAGGTCAGGGAAGCCCCTGGGGCTAGTGGCCCTTGGCTCAAACAAGCCAGATGGGAACAGGGATTCATCCACACCTTCCCCTCTTCCTCCAGGCTCTACACTGCAGGGTGGACATGCTGCCTGCCTCGACCTTTCCAGACCATACAGTGGATCTGCTGAGGATACCAGAGTCCCCTGCAGACAGTACGGCATGTAGGACGAGTTCCTCTCTGACGCGGAGAGTGGTTTTGTTGGAGTTTTTTTGGATCTGTCTGAAGATAAGAACGTTGAGGGTCTCCCCTGGGTGCTCAGTCAGCTTCTGCTCCAGGTGCTCCGCAGCCACATCCTCAGTACATGCTTAACAGATTTGTGCTTCTAATCAGCGGGGCAGCACCTATCAGGGGTACGGCCACTTCTCAAACCCTACCCTACTTTGCAGGCTTCGCCCCTTCTGATCTTCTCAGCTCCCTTGCCCTGTACTCTAGACTTTCAGAATGGACGGGCCTCAGGTACCTCCTGATATTCTACTTCCAATCATCCACCAACCTTGTGCACCCTTGGCTACCTGGGTGGGGGACTCTTTAGGACTGCTTGCCAAAGGTGACTCTTTCTGAATGGCTCCGCCCACTTGCTATGGTTTTCACTGACATGGTACAGGACCTAACCTGTGCTTCACCCCTAGCTTGGGAGAGGCAGAGCTCTTGGTCCAGCTCCAATGATTCCATTCGCCTCCATGAGCTCAAGGGCTCTGCATCTGGGGCATCACAGTGTTTATTCAAAGCCTTCGTTACTCTCAGGTCTTGCCTCCCAGGGACTTCCCAGTGGGCTTTCGCCTTCTGACTCAACATCCTCTGAGTGAGCCCTTCCACTGACAGCAGGGTGCAGCCTGCAGGTCCTACAATCCAGGGCAGGGCATCCAGAAGGGCATTCCTGAGAAAATAGCCTAGGTTTGCTGCAGGCAGCTACCCAAGAAGACCAGGGATACAGAACTTTTGTTTCTATTTTCTTTCATGTCTTCTTATTAAAAACACAAAGTCACAGTGGCAGTCACCCTGGCCTGCACTGCTCCTCACCCCTCACTGGTGTTCAAGACGAACCTGGGCACGTGCTGGGCAGGCAGAGAGGCAGAACTAGGATGACTCAAGGCCCAGGGTCTCCTCATTGTCCCTGTGGCTGTGGCTGTGTTTCAGGAGCAGGATCAGAGGCACCTTCACTTACACAGACCTGGAGAAAAGGCAGGGGTTAAAGGATGGGGAGGACTGTGTGGCTCTGCCCTTGGAGAACTTCAAATGCAAATTACACAAAACCAAGGAAGGGACAGGTGCCCAGCATACGGCAAGAAGAGGCTTCTCCACACTCAGGACACGTATGGGTCTTGTCTTCTGCTGACCCTGGTCACAGACATCTCTATGGGACTAGAGAGGAGTGAGGAGTTCACCTGGGCCCTCTGTTTACTCAGGCTCTCCACTGAAGGGAAATATACCAATGTCTTCTTCATTCATAGAAGTCTGCTGAGCCCGGGACTGGCTCAGGGGTGCTAGTCAAGTCTGAGAGCTCTGCAGCTGGAAGTCTGTAGAGGTTCCACCCCTCCCAGGACTGTATTTCCTCCTCTAGTCATGCTGGGAGCTGAAGTCCTGCCACTTCCGATGGCCCCAGGCCATGATGGCCTAGGTCACCCAAAGTTCAGACAATAGGAGTCCTTGGGAGTTAGACAGCTGAAGGTGCTCCACCAAGAGAACCCCTAGATGCCTTTTCTGATCACAATTCCTAGACTGCTCTGAGGCAGTCAAGTCAACTGCTCAGAGGGGTTGGCAAGGACCCAGGCATAGGCCCATGGCCAACAAGGCTGTGACACTGTCTTGGAGAAGAAAGTACCAACCGCTAAAGATAAAAAACCAATGCCCACACCCCCTGCACTTCCTGAAACAGTGATGCCCCTGGGGAGCGGCCTGTCTGTGTCCCTTCCATTTTGGAGATTCCTGACATCAATGCTGACTTGGGGCCTAACTCCACTGGGCTGGGACTCAGTTCTCTAGCCACCACACCCTGACACCTAACCAGAACATGAAGCTGATCACAAGGGGATGAATAAATGACAGATGGATGGATAGACGGATGGACGGAGAGACAGATGCCTGATAAGGTCCCCAAGGAGAAGCGCCTCATGCTGTGAGCACCCCAATGCAGGCTGAGCAGGTCATACTTACAAATATGCCTGCTTGGACAAGAGGCCGGACGGCTTTTCATTGACATGGTACAGGGGGAATGGGTCAAATCCACCAATGAAATCAACTGAAAGAAATCAAGCCCAAATGAAACAAAACCCAAGTGATGAAGATGGTAGAATGGAAAACACCCCCAGTAGCAGATTCCCAACAAGAGGGACACTGACAGAACCTGTGGAGGGGGCAGACACAGCTCCCCACTGGATCTCAGACTTGGGTGGGATCACCTGGGACAGGGTGCCATTTCCTGACTTCATGGCCTGAAAGGACCTTCCCAGCAAGGAGTCAGATAGGGAGGCTAGTCAGGACCCTCCAGCCTGGGTGGGGACTGCAGCCCACCCTGCCAGACTCTCCCAATCACCCCCATGGCCTTCACTTAACACCAAGCACCTGCCCCATGAGGCCACTAGTAGGTGCTGGGCTTGTTGGGCAAAGTTAACACATTTTTTTAAACTTCTGACTGCAGTTCTGAATGTAATCGGCAGGTGGCGCTCCTGCTTCCTTCCCAGAAACCAGCTATGGTCTCAGGGTTCAGAGAGCACCAGGAGCTGAGGTTGATGGTGGCTAGAGCCCAGGCTCAGGGACCATCCCCAGCCAGTGTCTAGAGTCAAGCTCCAGGTCTCTTGTACATGGGGACAGATGATTCCATGGATAGCTTCCAGGGACAGATGGCTCTGAATTTCAAGTCTGACTTAGGAAGTTTCTGTTTACAGGAGCTAAGAGCCCTGATTGCCCACCCATCCTGACTATCCTTTCTCTGCACGGTCATTCCATAAGACCACATCAGGGCCGGAGGTCTCCAAAGGTGTGGCTAAAGTATTACTGTGTCATGTTTCAAATCAAGAGAAAGGGATCTATAGGCAGAGGGAAAAGGATAATATGAACCAAATGGGTTCAGCCTAGCACTGAGGTCCTATGTCTACATAAGCGCCCAGCAGGCTGAGTGGCTTGTGCCACTGAGGGCTCAGACCTTCCTCCTGGGTTCACTGTGGTATTATGAGGACAAACACCCTTGGCCTGAGGGCTGCTGAGCCCTGGGCCCACAGTTTAGGACCTTTTCACAGACCCCTTATTCCCAGGTCTCTGGACTGTTTTCTCCTTTTCAGGTCCATGGCAGAAAGCAAGGGCTTATTGGGTGTGGGGCATCACTGAGGGTCACCTCCAGGCCCTGCTGCAGACAGCACAGTACTCAGGAATTGCCATCACGCTTAGCTGCACACTTACAGCTGTCTTCTTCTTCCATAAACATGCTGACCACATAGCAGCCGTAGATGAAACCCAGGAGCTGAAAGACACCAAGAGGCTAGTCATGAGGTCCGATAGGCCACCTCACTGCAGCAGCATTGTGGGGGCTTCGAGGATGACCCCATGTGTCCCTGACAGAGGCCCTGCCTCTCCTGGACCTCAATTTCCTCCTCTGTAAAATGGAACTCTAAAACTGACCTGCATTGCCTCCTGAGCTCCCACATTCCTGATGTCTCAGTTCTCCCCTGACCCAATCAGTAGGTGACACATGGGTTAGGAGGGTGACCAAGCCAGTTCGAAGGGTGCTATTTACCATGGCAGAGCCCTTGGAAGGCTGCCTTAGGCCCCACCTGGCATGAGGCCACACACAGAAAAGCAGAGCTAGACTTTTCCAAAAACATGAAAACTTGAGAGGTAGCCTGGAGGGGGTAAGGCCATATCCTGTAGCTTCTAGCCAGATGATCAGGCCTACATCCTACAGGGCATCACAAAATGTCCCGTGAGCCCCTTCCACTCAGTTCCAGCAGGGATACAGGGTCCAGACCTTCCCTCCACGTCTAGGACTTTGCTCCTGGGCCACAAGGATGGTTGTGTGGGTGAGACAGTTTCTGATTAGATTGGCTAGTGGGGAACCCAGAAGACCTGAGAGAAGGGAAATCAAGCCACATCCCTATTCACTTCCCTGTAAGGCTGTCTCCCTGCCCCGGTGCTGGCAATCATCACTTCAAGATGAGGGTGCTTCTATGAGCCACAGAAAGAGTGCAGTGTCTCCCATGAGCCCCAACACAGCATCCATACCTCGTACCGCCTTTTTCTCCATACCCCGAGAACAGCCTGGTCTTCTGTTCAGAACAGCCTGGGCAACTGTCTCTGTTTGCTGGAACCTTGGATGACTTCGGGTTCACAGACAAGACATTTCAAGGGTTATCAGCTAAGGCTGCAGTGGGGTCTTTCAGGGAATCAGACGTGTTGTCTGTGGGTACTGTGGCCAGGAAACACTCCAGACTACTGGAGAGTGGACAGGAAGGTGGCCAGTGGTGGTAACTGTGTGACTGGAAGGAAGCAGGACATTCTGGATATGCAGCAGGTCCCTTTGTGAAGCATCAAGAAGCCTCACTTGATTCACTTACCCTCTGTCACTGAACTGGCCCAGCAGCCTCCTAAGAGGCCACCACATCCTTCCATTAAAGGAAACAGAAAGCATTGTCCCAGGCTGTGGCTGGAGGTATGTGGGCTCCACTCCTGTGAAACTCCACACAGCTTGGGTGCAGTCCAAATCCCCCCTTGAAATCCAGCAGGTATCTAGGGATGAGTCGGGGTCCTGGAAGCCAGCCTCCTCACTGTGAAGAGAGCCTGAAATGTCTCTCACACAACTTTTTCTGGTTCAACCAGGACAGCATGAGGTAGAGGGGGTTACACCTGAGTATTGGCCTCACGGGAGCTGGCCAGGGTTCTGAAACACAACCGGGCTCTCCTGAGGAAGGTGCTCTGTCCAGCCTGGCATCTACTCCGCCTCAGGATACCCCTGGTGGTTTTATGGCACCCTGCCTACATTCTCTTGCCTTCCTTTCCTACCACTTCCCCACCCACCCTGGACTCACTCTGCCTCCTTTGGAAGCTTCCCCACACACACACACACACACTTGGTCTTTCTTCATTAGTGATCTCAGCAGGGCCAAGCCAACACTCTCCTCTCTTAGACCCTCCAAAACAGCCATCAGAGGACCCTTTACAGGCAAAGCAAGTACCAGAGGACCAGCTCTGCGAGCCAGAAGTCCATTTAAGAAAAGATGGCAGAGGCTGCCCTTCATCGTTAGTCCCACCAGAAGCACGTGGTGCCCTTCAACAAGATGCCCACTATTTCCTTCTTTTGCCTTTTCTGAGTCTGGAAATTCAGAAGCCTTTAAACCAGGTGTGGTAGATCCCAGTACTCAGGAAGCAGAGGCCTGAGGATTTCTGTGAGATGGAGGCCAACCTGGTCTACAAAGTGAGTTCCAGGTCAGCTGAGGCTACAGGAAGACTTTGTCTCAAAATAACAAAAAACAAACAAACAAACAAAAAAAACCAAAAGGCTTGTTGGCAATGCTTGGCTTATTGGTTCTCTTCTGAGGAACACATCTGGGTTCCCACGTTTGGGGGCAACTGGGGTCTCCTCCTGCTTCAGCTTCTAGCTGTGGAGGAATACTTTAGGTAAGATGTCTGGAGGCAGGAATGGAGGTGAAGTGAGGGCCACAAGGTCATCTGTACTTTCTGTTCTGTGTTTTCTCACATCTTGGTTGTCCTCAGATGTGGAACTCAATTTCCATCATCAGTTGCTGATCACAGAACCTCTGTCCTTGAACATGACCCCTAACCAGGAACATTGATACTGACACTGTGTGCTAGGAAGGTTGGGAAGCTTTGCGATGTGACCAAGCACCTGCAGGGATCTTCCTGGTTATACCCAAGGCTGTAGCACCCACAGTCCCATAGGCCACGCTGCTGTTGCTGGTCCACATGCCTGCCCAAGCCTCTCTCCCACCCCCATCTAGTCCATCCACCAAAATGATTTGCATTTTACAGAAGTGCTAGCTAAGGCACAGAGAGTCAAGTGGTTCATTAAGGCACAGCAGAAAGGGGACATGCCTGGTCCTAGGTCCATCCCCCACCACCGTTCTCCACTGATCTGAGCAGTCAGAGTCAGAGAAGCCTGCAGAGCCAATTCCATCTTCACCAGCTATGGTTGATCCTTTAGCTCCATGCAGCATCAAGTCGGACATGGTTGGAAGATGGCATTCTCACCATGGTCACGCTGAGGTTCTAGAACAGTCACCTATTGCCTTCTGTGATCAGCGTGGATTTGGGGACAGTGGAGGAAGCAGGCATGACAGGAATGGACAGGTTCCACTGGGCCACTTGTCAGGAGGGTGCTTGTTCTTCCTTCATGAGAGCCTCTGGAGCCAAGGTGGGTCTCTGAATTAAGACCGTCTTTCTCTCCGCAAGTAGAACACAGCTTTGGAAAAGGCTTGGTTTGGCCATCTCAGGTTGGGGCATGCCACATCAGTCCCTAGAGGTTGGAGCCCAGGCCAGGGTCTAGAAGAGCTGTGCTTAGTTGCTGTAGGTTTAATTGTGTACCAACATGTATGCTCAAAGCCCAACCCTTGTGTCAAAGAAAATGCTTATGGGTAAAAATAGACCCACATATCATTAACATGAAGTCGGGCAGGGTGGGGCAACCCTAAACCAATGGCTGGTTTCCTTACAGGAGTAAGGAGGGTGCTGAGACAGGCACATGGAGAGAAGGCTGTATGACAGGTGGAGGTGGAGGTGCATCCACAGGCCTGGGACTGCTGTGGTCACCAGGACTAGAGGATGCCTAAGACACTTTCCTCAGAGCCCCAGAGAGAACCAGTCCAGCTTATACCTTGGCTTTGGATTCTGAACTTGGAGCTGTGAGGAAATGAATTTCTGTTCTAAGTACCTTTGACTGATTTATAATTGTGTGTGTGTGTGTGTGTGTGTGCATACAAGTGCATGGGTGCATATATGTGAGGGTGTGTGTGCACTTGGAAGCCAGAAGACAACCTTGAGTATTGTTCCTTGGGTGTTATCCACCTTTTTTTTCCAAGACAGTGTCTCTCATTGGCCTGATATCCATAAAGCAGGCTGGACTGGATGGCCAGTGAGCCCCACAGATCCACCTGTCTCTATTCCTTAAGTCCTGGAATTAGAAGTACATACTGCCATTCCCAGCTTTAAAATTTTGAATGTTATTAATTTATTTTATTTGTGTTTATGTGTGTGGCATATGTATGACATATACACATATGTGTACAGATGTGTGCATGTGGAGGCCAGAAGGGGACTTCAAATGTCCTCCTCTGTCATGCCCCACCTTATTTGTTCTCACCGAACCTAGAGTTAGGCTGGCGGCAAGCCCCTGTAATTGTCGTTTTCACCCACCCCCACAGCGCTAGGTTTACAAGTGTGCAAAACCACGCCTACTTTGTAGACAGGTGCTGGGATCTGAACTTGGGTCTTCATGCTTGCAAAAGTGTTCTTAACCACTGAATCATCTCTCCAGTCCCACTAGCTTTTTTTGACATGGGCTCTGGGGAACTAAACTTGGGTCTCCATGCTTGTAAGGTAAGCCTCTTACTGGTGGATCCCCCAGCCCTATTTTATTTTGTTTTATTTATTTATTTTTTGGTCTCTTTGAAGCAGGGTCTCCCTGTAGCCCCAGCTGTCCTGGAACTCACTATGTAGACCAGGCTGGCCTTGAACTCACAGAGATCCACCTGCCTCTGCTCCCAAGTGCTAGGACTACAGGCGTGCACCACCATGCCCGGCCTATTTTATTTTTGAGACAGGGTCTCATTACTTAACCAGGCTGGCCATGAATGGTAATCCTCATGCCTCAGTTTCTCACATGTCAGGATGACAGGCCAGCTTCCTGTCTGGTCATTTGTTATTATAACCACAGGAAATTCATCCAGATATAAAGGCAAAATTTAGCCTCTGTGGGTTCAAATGTGTGAGGCCCTAGCCCTGCTTCATGCTGGAGTGGCAAGCCATCCTGCCGAGTGGAGCTTAGCACAGGGACCCAGGCCCAACGGGCTTAAGAGCATTAGAAGCAGCTTTTCCGCCCCCTCACTTTTCTATACAGGCCACTTGGTATGGGTGGACGAGGCCCTAACTGGCTTTTGGAAATGTTCCTGACGACATCATCTTTCTCCATGAACATCCACGCAGAGTTCATGATCTAATGTCTTCTTGGTCCCCGTGCTGGACGGCTTTAGTTGTCAACTTGACGTGCCTGAGTAGAGGGAGCCTCAGCTGGGGAATTGCTTCCATTGGACTGACCTGTGGCCATGTCTGTGGGGTATTTTCTGATTTTTTTTTTGAGTGATGTGGGAGGGCCCAGCCCACTGTGGGCTATGCCATCCCTGGGCAGGTTGTTCTATATTGTATAAGAAAGCAATCTGAACATCGGCTAGGGGACCAAGCCAGTAAACAGCATTCCTCCATGGTCTGTGCTCCAGCTCCTGCCTCCAGGGTCCTGCCCTGAGTTTCTACCTTGGGCTCCCTGATGAACTGTGACCATGGAGATGTAAGCAGAATAAACTCTTTCTTCTCCAAGTTGGTATTGGTCAGAGTATTTTGTCACAGCAATGCAGAAACAAACTAGAACAGTTCGTCTAAGACCTTTGTGCCTGTGAATCCAAATCCAGGCACATAGATAAAGCATCCAGGTCTGAACTGGCTCTGGGGGCACCAGGACAAGATGCTCTGCTGCACCAGATTCTGCCCTTGAGTTAACAGAGCTTGGGATACAGTGAGGTCCAGTGACTGGCAGTGAGGGAGCCCAGTCCTGACACTGGATGGCCCTAAAGGCTGGACATCCTGGAAAGGAACACATTTCACTTGGACTGCTAAGCAGGTCCTGAGCAGGGTGTGAGAGATCTTAAGAGCAAAGAGCGGTCCAAAGACTGTTGAGAGTTAGTATGTCCTGGATGCCTACCCTGGATATGAAGATCCTCCAGAATGATTCACATGCTAAAGGCCTAGTCTCAGGGAGGTGGTGCTGTTGACAAGCGGCCTGGGGAACCTCACAGTTTCCCTGCTACTTACTGCTCCTGGAGAAGACTTGTCCCAATAATTTCTCTCCACAGGCCCCTAAGGAAGAGTCCAGTCTGGATCCAGACTTTGTACTAGCTCTGAGATCTTGGGACAAACCTGTGGGCTATACATCCTTTGTCTTCAAAGAGGTCACAGCTCTCCCTGTTCAGTAGTCCACACCCTAAGGCCTTGCAAAGGAGGCTGAAGCCTTGGACATCTGTGTTGCCACAGCAGTAAGACAGAGCTACAGGGAGCCTCAGTACCAGCTCTCAGACACCCCCACGGGCCTCACTCCACTCTGTCCCCACCCTCCTCCATCACAGCTGTGATCTTTCCCCTTGAATCAGGTTCCTGAGCATGCATGGAAAATAACAAAGTTTCATCTTCTCTAATCTCACTGAAATTCATATCTCTTTCCAGGCTCAACTTGGATAATGACCCGAGTCCAGGGGGACATGACCATCCACAGGACAGTGGTCCCTGATGCTGGTGATTCACTGCTTCAGAACTGCTTCACTTGCTTAATAGGGTGGTGAACAAGATGCCCAGAAGCAGTCAGCCTCACAGCCAACACAGAAGCTGCCTGGGTACAGAGCTGCTCTGCTGCTCACAGAGCAGGAATCCTGGGGAGCAGCAGCAGCCCAACATACTGGGAACCTTAGCCAGACCAACACAAGCTGTTCCCTGTCTTATGGAACTGGCCCCCCTGGCAGACTTTCTCAGGGCTGTGGGCTGAGATCCAGCCCAGTCAGCCTGCTATATGCCAGGATGTGCTCCCCACTCCCCCACCGATTTCTCTTCAAGGAGATGAGAACTCGTAAAATGTCCTCAAAGACCCTGAGACTCAGAGAGAAAGCCTGGATGTGTGGCTCTGATCTATCAGGCCTATTGAGATTAAACAATGTCATCAGGGGGCCCACTCATAGCCTAATTGGTTGGACCAGGGCTTTTCCCTCCCTCTCTCTGGCTCACTGAGGTCAGTCTTAGAATCATCCTCCCTTGCCAGCATTACCTCTGAGCTAAGGGGATACAGGAGCCTCTTCTTGGTTACCTTGACCTGCAGCCCCACCACTGCTATTCCTGGCTGCCTCATGCTCAACAGCATCATCAGAGGTGATGCTGGTTCTGGGCCCATCTTACAGAGAGGACACTGAGGCTCCAAGAGTGGAAACGTACCTGTGATTCCTCTATCTCTGGGAGGACGTGGACGTAGTCCTCTTTATAAAGCAAGGAAAGGCCCTGGCCCTGGCCTGCCCCAGGCAGAACAAACCCCAGGCCTGTCACCACACTCACCGCCAGCAAGATCTGCAGGCCACTGTGTAGGGCCTCCACATAGCTGTGTGACAGGGCACACCCAGTGCCCACCATCAGGGATTGTTCACGTAGGACCTTGAGGTCTGCTGTGGATGCCGCCTCATGTAGACAGCCTGGCCCATGCTCCTCCCACCAGGAGCGGTGCCGGGAGAGATTGAAGGTCAAGAGCTCACTGTCCTGGGGATAAGGGGACAGGGCAAGTTAGCATCAAGAGGCAGCTAGCCCCCACCCACCACAGCCTGGAGTGGAGGATAGTAAAGGCAGCCAATCTCCTTTCACTCTTACTCCCTGGGCTCCATCTATGAGGAATAGGTGCAAGTGTCTCTAAGCTAAACCTCCATGGGAGCGGGGCGTGGTGGTGCAGGCCTTTAATCCCAGCACTCCGGAGGCAGAGGCAGGCGGATCTCTGTGAGTTCGAGGCCAGCCTGGTCTATATAGTGAGTTCCAGGACAGCTGGGGCTACAGGGAGACCCTGTCTCAAAAAGACAAAA